CCCCCCCCCATCAGCACCCTAAACCCCCTCCCTGTAGCAGCCGGCACCCCCCTCCATCGGCACCCTGAACCCCGCAGCGCTTCCCAGCATCCCTGTGCTCCATCCTGCATCCCCCCGCACCAGCCCTGGGTGGGCACCCATCTCTGTGCCCCCCCTGCCTGGCATCAGCACCCCCCCGGCACCCTGTGGCACCTCGCGGTGCCGTGTCACCGCGCTGGTGCCATTTTGTGGGGGAGATGCAGGAGAGGCTGCTGCGTCCCAGCCGCACCTGCCGGTGCCACGGCAAATCCTGCGATCCGTGGCAAATCCCGGGATCCACGGCAAATCCTGCGATCCACGGCAAATCCCGGGGGCTGTGGCAAACCCCAGGGGCCACGGCAAACCCCTGGGGGCCACAGCAAACCCCTGAAGCCATGGCAAATTCTGGGATCCATGGCAAATCCTGGGGGCCACGGCAAACCCTTGGATCCGTAGCAAACCCCAGGATCCACAGCAAATCCTGGGGGCCACAGCAAATCCCAGGGGCTATGGCAAACCCTTGGGGTCCACAGCAAACCCCAGGATCCGTGGCAAACCCCGGGATCCACAGCAAACCCTGGGATCCAGAGTGAACCTTTGGGAGGGAGTCATGGCAAATCCTGGAATCCACAGCGAATCCTGGGGGCCGCAGCAAATCCCAGGGGCTATGGCAAACCCTGGGATCCACAGCAAATCTGGGGGGCCATGGCAAATCCTGGGGGTCGCAGCAAACCCTGGGATCCACAGCAAATCCTGGGATCCACGGCAAATCCTGGGATCCACAGCAAATCCTGGGGGGCCATGGCAAATCCTGGGGGGCCATGGCAAATCCTGGGATCCACAGCAAATCCTGGGATCCACAGCAAACCTTCTGGGGGTCACGGCAAATCCTGGGGGTCGCAAGAAACCCTGGGATCCACAGCAAATCCTGGGATCCACAGCAAATCCTGGGGGACCACAGCAAATCCTGGGGGGCCACGGCAAACCCCGGGATCCACAGCAAACCCCAGGATCCACGGCAACTCCTGGGGACCACGGCACATTCCGAGGGCTGTGGGAAACCCTGGGATCCACGGCAAAGGCCGGGATCCACGTGCCCCACATGTACCACGGGCCCGCCTCGCTGGGGGTGACAGGAGGTGTCCTGTGCAAGCCCTGTGGGGCGAGTGACCCACCGTGGCCACCCCACCGCCCATCCCAAGCCGGAACACACCGGCTCCGTGCCCGCAGCGCCGGGAATCGGCTCCGAGCCGGGGCCTGGACCGTCACGGCCTCTCCCCCGCCTTGCAGATGGCGTCGGCTACCGACTCCCGCTATGGGCAGAAGGAATCCTCGGACCAGAACTTCGATTACATGTTCAAGATCCTGATCATCGGGAACAGCAGCGTCGGGAAAACCTCCTTCCTGTTCCGGTACGCCGACGACTCCTTCACGCCCGCCTTCGTCAGCACCGTCGGCATCGACTTCAAGGTCAAGACCATCTATCGGAACGACAAGCGCATCAAGCTGCAGATCTGGGTGAGACCCCCGGGGCGCCCTGGGACCCCCACGGAGGGGTGGGAGGGGGTGGTCGTGTTGGGGCTGCTCCGCCCTGCGGAGCTGGAAGGGCTGGAAGCACCGGGAGCGGCGCTGGGGTGGGAGGGGACGTGTCCTCAGGGACCTTGGTGGTCCTTGGAGGGCCCTGAGGGGTGTCACTGTGTCCCCAGGGGTGGTGTGGTGGGAGGGGATGTGTCCTCAGGGACCTTGGTGACGCCCAGAGTGCCCTGAGGGGTGTCACTGTGTCCCCAGAGGTGATGCTGGGGTGGAAGGGATGTGTCCTCAGGGACCTTGGTGACGCCCAGAGCGCCCTGAGGGGTGTCACTGTGTCCCCAGGGGTGACCTGGTAGGAGGGGATGTGTCCTCAGGGACCTTGGTGATGCCCAGAGTGCCTTGAGGGGTGTCACTGTCCCCCCAGAGGTGATGCTGGGGTGGAAGGGATGTGTCCTCAGGGACCTTGGTGACGCCCAGAGCGCCCCGAGGGTTGTCACTGTGTCCCCAGGGGTGACCTGGTGGGAGGGGATGTGTCCTCAGGGACCTTGGTGACACCCAGAGCGCCCTGAGGGGTGTCACTGTGTCCCCAGGGGTGATGCTGGGGTGGAAGGGATGTATCCTCAGGGACCTTGGTGGTCCTCGGAGCACCCCGAGGGTTGTCACTGTGTCCCTGGGGATGGACATGTCCCCAGGGACCCCTGGAGCACCCCAAGGAGTGTCACTGTGGCCCCAGAGGTGACATGGTGGGGAGGGATTTGTCCCCATGAACCTGGGTGGCCTCTGGAGAGCCCCGAGGGCGATGCCAGGGTGGAGAGGGACGTGTCCCCAGGGATCTCAGCGGCACCTGGAGCACCCCAAGGGGTGTCACTGTCCACCCCAGTGACATGGTGGGGAGGGATATGTCCCCAAGGACCCCTGGAGAACCCTGAGGGGTGTCACTGTGCCCCTGGGGGTGACATGGTGGGAAGAGACGTGTCCCCAGGGACCTTGGTGGCACCAGAGCTCCCTGAGGGGTGTCATCGTGTCCCCAGGGGTGATGCCCGGGTGGAGAGGGACGTGTCCCCAGGGACCTCAGTGGCCCTCAGACTGCCCCAAGGGGTGTCACTGTGTCCCTGGGGGTGACATGGTGGGGAGGGACATGTCCCCAGGGACCCCTGGCGAGTCCTGAGGGGTGTCACTGTGTCCCCAGGGGTGACATGGTGGGGAGGGACATGTCCCCAGGGACCCCTGGCGAGCCCTGAGGGGTGTCACTGTGTCCCCAGGGGTGACATGGTGGGGAGGGACATGTCCCCAGGGACCCCTGGAGCACCCCAAGGGGTGTCACTGTGTCCCCGGGGGTGACATGACGGGAAGAGAGGTGTCCCCAGGGACCTCCGTGGCCCCTGGAGCGCCCCGAGGGGTGTCACTGTCCCCCCCAGGGGTGACATCCTGCTGTCCCTGCCCAGGACACGGCCGGGCAGGAGCGGTACCGCACCATCACCACCGCCTACTACCGCGGGGCCATGGGCTTCATCCTCATGTACGACATCACCAACGAGGAGTCCTTCAACGCCGTGCAGGACTGGTGAGCGGCCCCCCAGCCCTTCCCAGCCACCCCCCCAGCGCCCTGCTCAGCCCCCCATTGGGAGCACCCCCCCATTATCCCTCTTCTCCTTCCCCCGAAGGTCCACCCAGATCAAGACCTACTCCTGGGACAACGCCCAGGTGCTGCTGGTGGGGAACAAGTGTGACATGGAGGACGAGCGCGTGGTCTCCTCGGAGAAGGGCCGCCAGCTCGCCGAGCACCTGGGTGAGCTGGGGAGAGGGGAACGCTCCCCCACGGCCATCATCCAACAAATAATTTAATTAAGGGCTTAATTCCCTCCCTGTAATTGCTCCGCTTCGACACCGGCTGGTGACTCGGCGCCGGGCGAAGAAAACACGGAGTCCTTGAGCTGTGAGGGGGGGTTTTATTACCACCCTTAAACCCTCCGAGAGCTGCTGGGGAGGGGGAATGGGAGGGGGAGTTTCTGGGCGAGGTGTCCCCGCGTGGGAGGCAGGTTGGACACTGCGGGTTGGGCAGCTCATTAATATTTAACGACGGGAGGAGGAGGAGGAGCCGCGGCGGTTTCCGATGTTGTCGGGCTGGAGGCAGGGCTGGAACCCTGATGTGTGCGTGTCCCCCGTGTCCCTCTGCCCCCACCCCGTGCAGGATTTGAGTTTTTCGAGGCCAGTGCCAAGGACAACATCAACGTGAAGCAGACCTTCGAGCGGCTGGTGGACATCATCTGCGAGAAGATGTCGGAGTCGCTGGACACGGCCGACCCCGCCGTCACCGGGGCCAAGCAGGGCCCCCAGCTCACGGACCAGCAGGCCCCTCCCCACCAGGACTGTGCCTGCTAGGGGCCAGCCCCCCCCCATCCTCCACAAACCCCCCCAAAAACCGGTCAGTGCACCCCCCAACCCCCCCCCCCAGCCCCTCCTCTTGGGGGTCCCGCGGGGGAATTGCTGCTGATACCTCCCAAAGGGCTGCGGCCCCTTTAGGAGCTCCCCACCCCATAATTCATTAGGCTGTGCCCCCCAACCCACCCCCTTAATTTATTTTGAAGCCTGGGCTGGTAGAAAACTCCCCTCGTTCTGCTTCTAATCACTGTCCAAGGAACCATTGCCCCCAGCCCTTCCCCGAGAACCCCCTTCCTTGGGGGACCCCCTTCCCTGGGGACCCCACTGCTCTGAGGGGACCCCCCCTCTTCCCTGAGAAACTCCTGCCCTGGGGACCCCTAATCCCTGGGGACCCCCTTCCCTGAGGACCCTATTCCCTGGGGGAGCCCCTTGCCCTGGGGACCCCCTGACCTTGGGACCCACTGCCTTGGGAGACCCTCCTGCCCTGAGAAGCCCCTTCCCTGGGGACCCCCTTCCCTGAGGACCCTATTCCCTGGGGGAGCCCCTTGCCCTGGGGACCCCCTGACCTTGGGACCCACTGCCTTGGGAGACCCTCCTGCCCTGAGAAGCCCCTTCCCTGGGGACCCCCTTCCCTGAGGACCCTATTCCCTGGGGGAGCCCCTTGCCCTGGGGACCCCCTGACCTTGGGACCCACTGCCTTGGGAGACCCTCCTGCCCTGAGAAGCCCCTTCCCTGGGGACCCCCTTCCCTGAGGACCCTATTCCC